TTCGCTTGGGGAAACGGACGATTAAGAAACCAAATGATTTGCAAATGATCTTAATACTGATAGTGGCAGTGATAATATCGATGATGAAAACGATAACAAGAGTGAAGCTTAAAAGGATATTGATAATGATGATAATAGAAATAATAATGATAATGATCATAGGAATAATGATAGTGCTAGTTGCAATTAGGATAATGATAATCATGAATAACCATAATAGTTGTAGTAGTGGTAGTAGTAGTAGTAAATATAATAGAATAACGATTATGATGATAACAATGATAGTAAAGATAGTGATAAAGATAAAAATAAAAAAAATAAAACTATGATAATATGGTCTATAATCGTATACCAAATATCACCAAATATCCAGCCTACAAAAAAATAAAAAAATAAAAAAAAAAAAAAATAAAAATAAAAAATAAAAAAATAAACAGAAAACCAAAAGGGGGACACAAACGCCCTCCCAAAGCCAGCCAGCCTCGGGAGCGCGAGGAAGTGTCTCGAATTCTCCCCCGGGCTGCATTCCCCCGAAGGCAGGAGCGAGGAGGCCGAAGGAGGGCGCGCGAGGGGGAGAAAAAGGGACAAACAGAAGACACGATAATAATTTAAGAAATGACAGGACGAGAAAGGGACCGTCGTGGTAGCCTTCGGGTAAGGTCGTCGGCATCGTGTTTTTTTTTTTTTTTTATGACCTCCAGTGAGTGAAGGACTATGAGAGCTGTCGTTAAAATAACATCAGTAAGAGATATAGTTTTATTTTATCATTTCTTTGAATGATTAAGACATGCGTACGCGTGTACACGTGCAACGAGCGTGTGTATGTGTGTGTGTGCGTGTTCGTGTGTGTGTGTGTGTGTTCGTGATGTTCGTGTGTGTGTGTGTGTGTGTGTTCGTGATGTGTGTGTGTGTGTTGAGTGTGTGTAGTGTGGATGTATGTTTACACACATAACAGAGGACAGAGAAGGAAAGAGGAAAAGGAAGATAAGAGAGAGAACAGGACATGACCTCGGATAACCTGTTGCAAGTTCCTGGCTCAGACTTAACAAAACACCAAAGTTCCTTCCAAGCTGTCATTACGACTCTTTGGTTCCCGTCGTTAGCACTGCCATGCTGCTTTCGTCATCCGGAACATTAAAGGACAGTGATGCAATAGATACGAATTCATAAGCAACATTTTTTCTCACTAATTCGATGTGAGTTATATAAATGATGGCTGTTTTACTTTCATTAATGTGTGTCATTATTATTTGTGCAACAGATATTACCTCGAGGGAGGGAGGAGGAAAGAGGAAGGGAGGAGGAGGGAGGGAAGGAGAGGAGAGAGGAAGGGAGGGAGGATGAGGAGGGCGGAGGGAAGAGGAAGGGACGGAGGGAAGTAGGGAGGCGGGAAGAGGAAGGGAGGAAGGAGGGAGGGAAAGAAAGGAGGAGGGAAGGGAAGAGAGGGAGGCGAGGGAAGGGAAGGAGGGAGAGGGAAGAGGAAGGGAGGGAGGAGGGAAGAGAAAGGAAGGGAGGAGGGAGAAGGAAGGAGGAAGGAGGAAGAGGAAAGGGAAGGAAGGGAGGGAGGGAAGAGGGAAGAGGAGGGAGGAGGGAGGGAAGAGAAAGGGAGGGAGGAGGGGAAGAGGAAGGAAGGAGGAGGAAAGAGGGAAGAAGAAGGAGGAGGGAAAGGGGAAGAGAGGAGAGGAGAGAAGAGGAAGGGAAGGAGGAGAGAAGAGGAAAGGGAAGGAGGAGAGAAGAGGAAGAGAAGGAGGAGGAAAAAGGAAGAGAGGTGGCGAAGGAGGGAGGAAGAGGGAAGAGGGAAGGAGGAAGAGGAGGGAGGGAGGGAGGGAAGGGGAAGGGAAGGACGGAGGAGGAAAGGGGAAGAGAGGGAGGAGAGAAGAGGGAAGGGGAAGGGAGGGAGGAGGGAAGGAGGGGAAAGAGGAAGAGGGAGGAGAGAAGAGGAAGGAAGGAGGAGGGAAGGAAGGAAGAGGGAAGGGGAAGAGAGAAGAGGGAAGGGGAGAGGAGGGAGGGGGAAGAGGAAGGGAGGGAGGAGGGAGACGGAGGGAGGGAAAACTGGGTTAGTAGAGGGGAGGAAGGAGTAGGGAGGAGGAGAGGGAGGAGCGAGGGAAAGCTGTGGGCGGGAAGGAGGGTGGGAGGGGGGGGAGGGGGTAATGGGGGAGACTGTCCTGTGCTGAAAAGTCCTTGAACTTTTAATGTGTTTCACAAAGCGAATTCTTGTTCAGAAGCTGCTATCTTTTTTTTTTTTTTTCTCGTCAGCTTTCTGTCACAATCCCTGCTTTCCTCTTCCCCCTTCTCTCTCCCTCTTTCTTTCTTTCTTTCTTTTCTTTCTTTTCTCTTTCCCCCCCCCCTCTCTCTCTCTCTCTTCTCTCTCTTCTCTCTCTCTCTCTCTCTCTCTCTCTCTCTCTCTCTCTCTCTCTCTCTCTCTCTCTCTCTCTCTCTCTTCCTCTCTCTCTCTCTCTCTCTCTCTCTCCCCTCTCTCCCAATCTCTCTCTCTCTCTCT